GTTATACGAGTCGGACTGTACACTCTAGCAGCTCGTCGAGCGGGTTTGAAGCCGATGGATCTCAGCTATGCTGCGAAAGAGGAGGCAGATCTCCGAGCTGTCGGGCAGCGCTCGAAAACCCTACGGTATATTGTCTGTGGAGACACCCGTCACCTTCGGACTGGTCGTCCCCTGCGCAAGGCGCGTCAAGGTTCAACAAACCGACGTCCCGCTTCTCACCAGCCTTCTGGTTTGTTGCGTGGAAACGACAACACCCAGTAGCCGACGGGCGCCCTACTGGGGAAGAACTGAGTTCTATTGAGCCTCAAAGCGGAAGAGGTCAGTTCGTGCACTTTTACACGGAACGTGCACGCAAGCCGGATTTTCTGGTCATAAAAGCGATCGTGAAAGTCTTTGAGAAGACATGAAAGATCCTGATCGACTCCGGGTCGTTGGGCAATTATGCTTGATGCTCCACAATAAAAGGAAGTCAGCTGTATGCTGGGGCGCTAAAAGCGCGATTGAGTGACAGTCACTGTTCACTTAGCGACGAGGGCATATGTGACGGTGCCAGGGTCCCGGTGGACATCGGTGTCAACTTTTTTTAATTTGATAGCGTTGAACGCTGCTTAGTGTTAGACTTGGATTCAATATATGACCTATGGCATGGTTGGAACACCACGAGCCATGGATCGATGAGAGGTCGAAGACCTTGGGTGCTACGCGCATGTCTCCTGGTGGAGCTTGGTGAGTCATGAGCATATCTCTGCACAATGCCATAGGCGCGAGCACTGGACCGAGACGGTCAATGTGCTGGACATCGGTGTATCCGAGTTGTTGAAATACCGAAGGAGTGTCGGACAGGAGTCCCGAGCATGGCTCACGGGCTGAACGTGTCACTTCTTCGGAGCCGTTTCTGCATACCTTGTTTGGCATGGTCGGCCAAGAGCCGTGGCATCGAGGGCGAGGCCTTAGTGATGCGCGTAAAGTAACACATAATTTACTGAACACTGCTCACGTTTTGAAGCAGTCACGACATCCCACGGATGACATTGTTGAACGAGGTCCGAGGCATCTTGGGCAAGGCTCTTCAGATGCGCGTGGAGTGGCATGAAATCCACTGGACGAAAACTGCGAGGCTAGCAGCTCTTCTTCGGATGTTTTCAATTACATCAGGGCTCTGGCCAGGACGGCGCTAAGGGCGTTTTCCCACTGGTCTCGCCAAGACAAAATCGTTTTTTGTGGAGATGCGACGGCAACGCCGTACGCTAGCTTCAAGACGCCAGGCGTCTACCCAGACCAAGGATATACCTACCGTAGACGATAGAGCACAGTTATACACCCTCGTCAACAATACTACGGAGGAGGCAGAAGGCGACACTACCCTTCAGGCTCTTCCGGCGGTGGATGATCTTTTTAAGGCAGGCGACTTAGCTAAAGTGGTCATTTTACGACCGGAAGAGGAGATCAACTCGTCGTTGCATCTGGATGAAGCTGTCCTGGAGGATACCAAGAGGTTGCCAAGCGCACGAACTGGGTTTTCGATCCTGAAGAATGCTTCGGATCCGTACTATCCCTTGGTGAAGGAATTTCTAGACGTTGTCTCCAAACACCTGCCGTCGGTGATCGCGCTAAAATTTCGTCAGCTCAATGCTGCAGAGAAGTACAACTCAGTTCACGATAAGGAATTGCTTCTGATAAAGTATGCACTTGTGAAGATCAGGGGGGTTCACCTGCTCGGCTCCAAGCCGTTTGTGACTTCTACACAGATCATGAGTCACTACGCAAGTTGCCTCATCTCTCGCAGAGGATGACCTTGTGGCTCTCCTTCTTTTCAGAAATTTTTTTTAAGGTGAAGTATACACCAGAAAGCAGATTATTTTGGCTGATGCGTTGTCACGTAGGCCAGATCATGAGCTTGCTCATGTTACGTTAGTGACGTCGCCGGGACGGATTTGATCAATGCCCCATACGCGGGTGATGATATGTGTGTAGCGCCGCTACAGGCTATCGGGAGTTTGGAAACTCGGGCAAAAAGTCGTCGGCGCGATTGCGCGCACGGTCACAGCGACATGAATCAAGGGTTGCTGTATTAAAGCACCGTTTCGACGAATACGGCACGAATTGTGGTTCCACATGATGAGATTTTGAGGTACCGTATTCTGTATGAGGCCCACAACACCCCACTCAGTGGGCATCTTGGTCGTGAAAAGACCTTCAACTCTGTGAGTTGCCACTACTGGTGGCCCAAGTTGTACAAACGGATGAGCATCTATGTGCGCACATGTGAGACGTGTCAGAGGATGAAACCTTCTCCGAATACGGCGGCGCCGCTCGCCAGTTTGTTGGTACCCACTAGGTATTGATAGTCCATGAATATGGACTTTGGGTTTGGCCTGCCGAAGGACTTTGCAGACAACACGGATGTCGTGATCTTCGTCGATCGTTTGAGCAAGATGATACATCTTGCGGCGGTCCTGAGCACCATCGACGGTGACGCAGTTTGTGGATCGTGTCTTTGGACAACTTGGACTCCCAGAGTCAATGAATCTGACATAGACCCACGCTTCACTGGGAAGTTTTGGTCGACGATCTTCAAGGTGCCTGGCACTAAGCTGGATATGCCAACAGCGGACCATCCACAGACCGATGGTCAAACTGAGCGCTTAAATCGCGTCGTTGAGGACATCCTTCGCAGCGTCTGCGCTGAGCGCCAAGCTGTCACTCGTAGAATTTGCTATGAACAATGCAGTGCATTCGTCTACTGGCTACACGCCGTTCTACGTGAACGGGCTCGTTCGTCCTCGCATTCTGCTGACACCGCCCACTCACGGTTCAGGGCTTGGTGGAGGGGGAATAGCCGAGCGGCTAGCAAAGGTCGACCCTCTCACTGTCCGTGAAGAATTCGATGACTTCCTGTCAACCAGACTGAGTGTCTTACGACACGTTCGCGATGCGATGGCTGAAAGCCAAGACATGCAGAAGTAAAATGCAGAAGAAAGAGGTCGAGGAAATGTTAAACATATTGAGGTCGAAGACTTGATTTTACTGAATGCAAAAAACTTCCTACCCACGCAATTTCTGCTGTTATAGAACGAAAAATCTTCCACGATTTATCGGACCTTTTAAGGTTGTGGCCAAGCGGGGCCTTGTGTATACGCTGAACACTCCGAAACGGATTCGCACCCATCCAGTGTTTTATGTGGGCTCCCTTAAGCCGTACCAGGATCCTGCACAAGTGAACGCAGAGTCGTTGGCGCCAGAGCGGCGCCTGCAGGCGCTCGACCACCCATCAACTGGAATAGCAACTGGTTTTGAGCACGGAGTACAACGATCTTTAACGGCGCCAAGTGCACAACTTCGCATGAAGAGACGCATTCGTCAGCTCAATGGCTAAGAGCTGCTTCGACAGAGCGCGATAGTCCTCAACGTGAGGCAGCCAGTGCACAACGTGCTCCAAGATTTTTAAATTCTTCCGCGCAGCCGTATGCAACCCTAGCATGACGCTCAGCGGGGTCCCTTTGCGACGGACCTTGTCCTCAAGACCTCAAATCGCATCGCGATTCATCGGATGGCGATCGATCAATCCGCCGCCGACTCTTCTCGACGAGAATGGTGGCGCCCACTATCACGTGGAATATCTGGTGAGTCGACGTCATTGTCAGGGTCAAACCCAGTATCTTGTGAAGTGGGGATTCCCCGACTCTGACAACTCGTAGGAGTTAGAGGTGCCACTTCGGCAAGACTGCTCAGACGTCGAGGACGCTTATGATCAGATGGATCATGAATTTCCGCGTCGTCGTACTCGGCCATAGTCAGGGAAGTCTAAGGGCCTTGAGCTGCTGCGGTCGCAGACTCCCCCGTGTGAGAGACTACAGAGCTCGCAGGAGCGTGATGTCCGTCAATCCGAAGGATGTCGGCGACGCACCTTAAATTTGGCAAACTCAAACCGAAGATAGCCTTCCACACGTTTTTCTACTTCGTTATGGCTCAACCGTAAGCTGTGCAGCGAGGAAAGTTTACGGTATCACTGCATTAATCGCTCAAAGAGCTCTTTGCCATCTGCAGCAGTTTTGCCAGGGGAGAGCATCACAGTCATCGCCAGCATTGCGGGTACAGGAGTGCCTCCTCTTTGAGCACGAAGCCGGGTGCGGTATAATTCCATTGGGATTTCTTGAGGTACGAAGAAGCAAGCTCAGAGAGCTTTTCGTTTATCAAGGTAGTAGCCGGGGGCCCGGCCACGTAGAAACCAAACGATGGAGTGATCACGTCCTTCGCTTCTGCAGCGGGATCCGCCGAGTAAAACTCATATCCCACACGACGGTCAAGGCCCGACTGTGGATGCGAGCGCTGGAGAGCCACCCTGCGGGCAGTATCCAGCTGCTGCTGCTGTGCCTCGTCGAGGTGATTGGTAATGATACAAATTCCGGGCTCACGTCACGCCACTGGGGCACCTCGTCCTCTTCTTCTTCCCATGCTGGTAAAGGAGTATCCGACTCGATGTCAGCTTCCTCCAGACCCTCGACGAGGTAGTTCATTGACCGTGGCGGGCACAGTGCGCGGTACTCGGTTATCGAGAGCTTGAGCTGCGCTTTCCTTGAAGCCTCGGACATAGTGTCCGGAGTTGCACCGGGTGCAGGAGTCGATGAAAAGCTCTGCTCATGGGCGTTCTCGGAACCAGTGGGGCTTGTATGCAAAAGTATGAACTATGTATTCGTTCAACATCATCGCAAGCTATATTATCACTCGGGTGTCTTTCGTGTCCCCGACATAGAGCTCATTTGGCAGACAAATGGAAAAGGGTCCCGGTGAAGTTGTGGTGTCTTAGACACGTGAGCCTCGTTCGAGGCGACAGTTATATGTGAACTGTAGCTATTGACCATCCTGATAGAGGAGAGTGTAGCGGGGTCACACGAGATGGTGTAATCACACAATAGTGTAACTACAGTATAACGACAAGTTAGTCGTCGCTGGAACAGCCAGTAGTTATACATTTAACTAGGTTTTTCTATATAAATAGGAAAACCTATAGATTTAGATATAGTCGGCTTTGCCGCAAATAAAATCTAGAATTACAGCTTATATTCTAAACGAAAGAGCTAATTAGCCTTGAACTAAGGTTGTATTTACTCTTGGAGTAAGCGGATTGTGATCCCCTACACTCGTACTGGTTCTGAGTATAGAACGAAGGTTGTCAACCTTAACTAAGTTTGAAAGAGCTCTGGCAGCCCCACTGCAAACAGCTTCGGAGGATTCTACGTTCCATTAACTTCAGCATGCAAACACTTTCTCTTGATTACTTTTCTTTGACAATTGGTGTTGCGTTAGAATAGAACAGGGTGTCTTGCCGTCTTTTCATAGTGGAAAAAGTACACTCGATCATAAGTTGTCCTCGCCGAGCGCGTGCATTCAATTCTTGAGCCATTAAGTTTAGTAGTTCTTAAATGCACGATCCCATTCGCTTGTTTTGCATAAAGCTTATTAGTCAATATCTTCAAATCTGAACCAATAGATTATTTGATCCTATATTCGTATATATTAGGTTCACTCCTCTTTACGTGTCTCGAGAAGCGACCGTATTTTCATCTGGATTGACGTCTGGCTTACCATTTGTCGAAGTTTGTGAAAATTAACGAATTTGATAAAAAAGAGAATCTTGTCAGATACGGTGTAGGCGCTTCATCCACGTCCATTCTCTATAAACCCACGCAACGTTTATAGAGTATTCATATTTGATCGAATATTTTTACTGGTTGTGGTGATTTCATCGTCTGTTGTTTCTGCTCTAGTATACGTGCCCCTTCAGCTGCATTTTCGTTGTCTAAGTTTTGAAATGTAGCCTCATAATCAACATTTTTCTTTGCAGGCTTTTGTTGAAGAAGCCTGTATGCTTCTTTATAAGAACTGTACATTTTTGTTACCGGCGGCATTATTTCTCTTCAGCGTCTCTTATTCATTAAACGTAAAATCTCGAAAGTTTAGACAGCCGCCCGTAAGCTTAGTCGTGGTTGCCGTCTCTGTTCAAATTAAATATGGGGTAGTAAAATCTGCCGCTGGAATAGCTTTTGTTTCATTAGCCAAACGTTCTAATCGAGGTCAAGTGCTGTAAGAATGAATACCCAAGACCTCAAACTTATGCTTTAGTGTTCATTTTCATCTCTCAACTTCGGATCGTGTTGTTTTGTCGATTGATGCCACCTCGATGCTCCTAAATAATATCTCCGTTCCGCATTTAATCTGCTCATCACTTCCAGTTTGAATCGTTTGATCCATTGATGTCCCAATATTTGTCATTCGTGGATTGCTTAAATTCGAAATGTTACTTGTCAGTGATTTTGCCTGTGTTCGAGCACTGTTGTATGAGATCCAGTCTGAATACCTATGCTATTACGATTCGTGCCAAAATTTGTTTGACACCGGAAGATGTCGATACATTCATACCCCGTGACACAGTCGAGTTATTATTCCTCAAATGCGTGGTTTGTCTAACCAACTCTGTATTTCCGTTCTCAATCGTTTAGACTCTTTAAAGTACTACCGTACTTCACAT